GTGTCTCTTTTTCGTCAGTTTCCTGCCANGTCCAGGAAGCTGCTGACCACACTCATGGGCCTGTTGGGAGGCCTCAATCGCTAAATCTGTGTGAAGAGCTAGAGCGCTGAGCTCTTTGGAACTTTTTCAAGGTCATCCAAAGGAAACAAACTCCTGCCTTTAGAACTTTGGAGATAATACATCCCCTTGACATTTCAAGTAAATTACAGGAGAAAACTTCCTTCTTTCCTCCTTCCCTCCCTCCCTCTCTCCTTTCCTTCCTCTCTCTCACATAGAACCATTCAGTCATTTTTTTTTTGAAGCATAATTAGAGGATAAAAATGTTTGTTCTTGAGAAAACACAGTCAGAGATACTTTGTTTGAAAAAAGAGTCATTCAGAAATATGTTCCAAATAATATAAAATAAAATAAAACTAGAGCTGCCAAGGGCACACTGACAAAGAACTCTATGATATAGAGAAAAAAATATCCCTTTCTTTTTAAATAATGGAAATATTACCTGTGAGTGGGTACAGAAGAGCATTTCCCGAGCACTGATGCTGTTGGAACTTTTCCTGACTATGCTCTCGCATAAATGCGTTAAGTAGAATTGCTGTTTAGCAGTTAAGTATTGCAGTTCCGTTATCTGGCTCATCCTGGGTGAGTGTGGGACACTGCCGTCCCTTCTCCTCTGTTTTTCTTTTGTTTTTTCTTCCTCTGTCGTTCTGAACTAAAGCCTTGGCGTTTATAACAAAAGCATCAATTAAGCAATGTCAGGCTTACACAATTAGGGGTGATGAGAGAGGTGAGGAGGAGGAGCTTTATTTTTCTCAATGAGCTTTTATACCCATAACTTTATTTGGCTCTGACCACCTACCTATAAAGTAAATAAGTAATGTAAGTACCATTTTCCTCACTTTTCTGATATGAAAACTGAAACAAATGAGTTGCCTAACCCAAAGTCTCACAACTGGTGGGAATCACAGAATCGAGAAGAAGGCAGTAAGTCATCTCAGCTAAGCCTCTCGCTTTACAGATGAAACAACTAGGAACACCGCTAGCCAGGTGTCCAGAGAGAGGAACTCAGGCCAGTGACTTGCAGTCAGAAACTGTGCCTCCACCCCCACCCGCTCACAACCTGCAAGCGGCAACATGGCCAGTGGCCAGAGTTAGAACCCTGCCTCTTGACTCCCTGCCCCTTTCTCTTCCCACTAGGAAACAGTTCAGTAGAAGGGAACGTTTCTTAATGCATTGAAAAATCTTCATTTATTGAGCATGCTGTTATTAAGACTTTTCAAAAT